TCCAAGGTTCTAACCACAATCAAATTAACGGATATCTGGCTGTAAAAAATAAGGTTGAAGGGATGCTGCCCTGATCCATTCATCTTTGCTAAAATAATTCAGCTGTAAAAACTCCAAAATGTGACATATTGAAGGACAGTTTTGTAACATAAGCAACTTCCTAGCTTGTCCTCCATGTTATTGACCATCGTTATCACTTAAATATATGTACAAGAATTAAGCCGCTTTTCTCCTCGTCCACATGCTTCTGGTCACTACAGCAAGTCAGTGCCAGCGGGCGTGCTAATCCCATCAATAGCTTTCAAAGTGTATCTGCTCCGCTATTACCAGAACAGCCCACGCCCTGTTCTTCCCATTGGTGTTGGCGTGCACTGCAAGGGAATTTTTAATGGTCAGCATTCTGCTTGTCTCTCATCCAGGCTTGGATTTGCTCTTTAAGTTCTGGCACTAACAGTGTAAAGAAGAGAAAAAACAATTATTAAACTTGGCAGTTAAATATTTAGTAATATTACTATAAGAAAACTCCTCATGACCAATAGTAGTTTCTTTTCTAGGAACCTGATCAGGAATATCTACTACTATTTTCTTCTCCCTCTATATTTTCTGTACAGCTTTGAGTAAATGTATTACTCACTCACCTAACAGTAATATCCTTTAGCCCAGTAGTTATAAAGGCAAGTGGGGGGGGAGGGGGGGGGGTTTCCCAGAAAAAGGGAAAACAGAAGGAATGAACTTTTCTGTGCAAGCTGAAATGAAGGAACTGTTACCTCTACTGAGGCCTCAACGCTATCTTCTGAAAGTGTACAGAACAACCTGCACACAAATTGCTTCCCCCAGTTCCACTGCTAACTATTAAACCAATACCTGGTTCCAGCATATTTTCTGTCAGTGTCTGACGATTGAAAGGATCAGTGGAAGAGTTCAACAGATGCCTCAGGATGATTGACCGGTCCATAATAGTTCCAGATGGCAGCCTCACAGGATCAGTCATCAGAGTGTCCATAAGTGGATCTGGGGGCACAAAAGCATCTCTTCATTAAATCAAGGACAATAGCTACAAATTTTATCTGCACACAAAACCACAGCACGGAACTGATACTCAGGGTCCCCAATCAGGTATATTGCTGAAGTTACAGAAAACGGTTAAAATTAGCAGTGGACTTCAGCCTTTATTTTGCTTTTCCCTTTCTGCATTGGGACTAAGCATTAGCTATTTTCACCCTATTTTCAGATTTTAAGTTTGTTTGGGATTGTTTTTGGGTTTTTTTACTGTTTTGAAGTACATGTAAGCAAAACATGGACAGGACTGGACAGTACAATCCCAGAGAAAAACAAAGAAGCTCTTAGCTCTCTATATTTACTTCACTATTTAATTGGAATAGAGCAGGATGCAAGGCTTCATAAACAATACATAGGCTCTACTAATAGAATTACCTACTTAGAATCAAAATAATGAAACAAATCCCTCTTCTCCTAAGACAACAGTATTTAGAAAACTCAACTTGCCTCTGAATTCATCTGGAGCATCACTGTAATCAATTTCTGCACGGGCATTCTTGGCAACAATTTCCTCCACTTTCTCTGCCAGCAGTTTGAATTTCTCTATTGCTATGGTTGACTTGATGCCAGCCTTCCTCATCTTTGAGATCACCTCCTCAAAGAGCTCTTTACTGTAGGACCTCTACAAGCGAAGCATAAAAAAAGACAACTTTGCTGAGTTGTAGTATCCTAACATGCCATAAAAATGCTAAAGATCTTTTAATGCATTTTTCAAGCTTCAGAAGGAAGGATCAATGAAACCTCAACATTACGTAAGACAGAAAAGTGGTATGCAGGTAACATTTCATCTAGCACCGAGATGTCAACGGTGGGGTAGACTTACACTTTTTTACTGGTCATCACTACTGTAGAACTGATCAGGACCCAAAAAACAAAAAAAGCAACAGTAGCTAATCAAAATGAGTGAGACACTCCGAGAGGCTGACTATAATTATTAGGACTGTTCCTTAGACAAAACACCTGCCTTGCCACTCCTATCTGCATTCTTGTTCTCACAAGTCTTGGCTGAAGAGGGGGACGAGGGGGAATGGTTTGAAGCTGCGCCAGGGCAGGTTTAGGTTAGATATTAGGAAAAACTTCTTCACTGAAAGGGTTGTCAGGCTCTGGAATGGGCTGCCCAGGGAGGTGGTAGAGTCCCCATCCTTGGAGGTATTTAAAAGAAGGATAGATGAGGTGCTTAGGGATATGGTTTAGTGGTAGGATGTCAGGGTTAGGTTAACGGTTGGACTCGATGATCTTAAAGGTCTTTTCCAACCAAAGCGATTCTATGATTCTATTCTATGATTCTAAGATACAGCATAAAATGCAAAGTTTTTTTGATTTCTTAACTTTTCTGATAATGGGTGAGGCAGGACTGGGAAAGAAGCGATTCTTTCTCCTAACCCAAACAAAAACAAACAAAAAATCCACCCCATGATGTTGCTAAAATAGTAGGGCAACTCAGAGGGAGCTAATGCTTGCTGGACACTTGCCGACCAGAGCAGCAAGAACTGTACAGCTACACAGTACAGCGTTCAGAGAGACCAAACGTGTATCCTATAGTTTCAACCGAAGCAAGCATTGCTTTCATGTAAAAGAAGAAAGGCAAGGACTTCCAAAAGCTGCTTATGTTCTAAAGACACAATTTTCTTTTAAGTTCACAATGCCATGTTTTGATATAAGCCTTTTAATAAAAATTGTTATTTACACTGCAGTGCAAGGCTGAATTAAGCAACAAAACAAAACAAGCTAAGTCTCACAGATTTCTATTTTCCTTGGGGATTTTAAAGTGTTCAACACAGCTCTACTTCTTTCATCTACACTACATCGCACCAAGAAATACCATTCACTACTTAGGACACACAGTGCCCACCCAAACTCCTTTCTAGTCCACAGAGAACAGAACTATGGCAATATGCCCAGGGCTTTATAAACATTTTCAGATTCCTTCTAATACGTGCTAGGATTTGCAAGCGGGAGATGTATCGAAATGCTTTAGAGAGACCCCGCCATGATCAAGCAACTTTTTGTTTGTTTTGTTTTGGGTTTTTTTTCTCCTAATACCAGTAACCATTAACCAACTGTGCATTTCCTTGGCGTTTCTTTCCTGTCATTGACAGTTTCCAAGATACTAGTCACTCCCCCTCCTTTTTATGAAGGGCTACTTTGTTAATTAAGCTTTATTCCAGTTCCCACACCAGCAGCCTTCTTTCTTTTTAATCCCTACGTCATTGCTGTGCATTTTGCTGTGGCTAGCATCGATGAATGAATGACGGATGACATTCTCACTTTCATATACACTGAACAGCATAAAAAATACACTGCATGCTCGTTATACACTTGCAAACACATAAGGTCTGTTTCAGAAGCGTTACTGGTATTATCTGCAGTTATCTGAACTTAAATAATTACAGAAAAAAGATCTTGAGTTACTCTGACACCTCTGCTTCACTAGACATGCAAATACAGCTTCATGGATTGTAAACTAGCTTCCACTAGAATTTCAAGTAGCCATTGAGAACAGTTTTTTTTCCTCTAGATTTTTACAAGTTTGTCTTATAAGACACAGGCACAGAAAGATGCAATTCAGTAGTCTGGCAACTTTACAAGAACACAGAGGTGAGCAATAGCTTATCTACCTTAATTCTTAACATTTTGCTCTGAAGACTACCACAAATTCACGGTGTCTCACGTATGTTGCATTTTTTCAGTTTATTACACAGTCATTTAATGAAGTGATATAAAAGGAAAACTGTTAGTCTAGAAAATGAACTTTGGATTGGTAAATGAGGCTCTTATTCTCAGTCCCAGCTCTGCCTGCTTCACATGTTCTTGATGGGGAAGGTGGAAGGGATTCAAAACTCTCTGTGTACTCCAGTTTTCCCACTTGCAAATTTAGGACAAAGTACTTCTGCTAATTTACAATGAAGCTGTAGCTAATAAGCAACTAATGCTCAGGAAGTTTCCTACGTGCACGAAGTTCTATAGACATCTACGTGTGTCTATAGGTTTGCAAAACACTTTGAAAACACACCCATCTACAAAAAGCAGACAGAATATGAACAGAGATTATCCGCTCAAAGAAAAGAAATTGCAGGCATATATGATGGAAACTGGGTGGCAAGCACACAAGTAGGATGAAACCCTTTTCGAGTATTCCACAAAGTCCTGTTTGTCCACAGTGCTTTTGCCCTTTCCCTTTCTCATGCTTCTGGAGCTTACCTGATCATCAGCAATTGCTTTAGCAAAGCGAGCACAATCTAGCTGTAGGTAAATGTCAGTCAGTTGGTCCAACAGCTTCTTTGGTTCAAACCCATATTTCTCAGGGTTTTCGACTTTCAGGTCACGGCACTTGGGGCCACACAGTTGCTGTAAGTTAAAGTTCAACATAGCAGCCAGTCGCGGTCCAAGTTCCTACAAGACCAAAGTAAAACACAGATCACAGCAGGAAGGCAGTGATAAAGAAGATTATCACTAGATTTGCATACAGCAAGATCAGGAATTAGTAACTAATAAAATTATCATTTTGTAGGCTTGCTTGCAGGAAGTATTTTTAATTTATGCATGCTTTCCATTAAAAAAAAAAAATAATGCAAACAGCTTCTGTCTAGAAGGATCACACCTTCTCAGTGACTCAGTTAATGCTCTTAACATCAAATAACCTCAACAGCAATTACATTTCAATGAGTTGGAGAAAGGGGAGGAGAATGCAGGAAAAGGGCTACCAAACATTTCCAAGTTATTATCCAACAGTAGAGATGTTAAAGAAACTGGAAACCAAGTTAAATCTGAGCAGGACTTACAGGTCTGAGAAATGGCTTTTGAACCTGCTTGGTAAGGATATGGAACATATCGACAGTTTCTGTTGCCAGGGCAAGATATGAACGAGACACACGCTCATCCTGAGCTAGCTGCGATTGCCGAGCCTGTTGCTGATCCTAGAAAATAAACGTTCAGTGGTTACAAGTCCAGAGAATTTGCTACATCATCACCCATCAAAACCTTAAAAGCCATAATGCTAACATGATCTAGACAAAAGAACAGGCTGCAATTCAAATCCAGATGTGATACATTTTTTAATTTAAGGTACAGCTCACTTTTACTACTCAATACTGAAGTCTGCACCAGTTTTCCAGAATTCTGCAACACTAAAAAATGAATGCAAATGGTATCACAAGACTCCATGGTTATTGAGTCCATTTACATCCTGTAACTGCTCCTCACAGCTGCAGAATTGGGTTATGCTTCCTTTCCGTCCAAATGCCAATACTTCAAAACCAGCTTGGGATCTGAGAGTCAAATGAGGTTCTCTCTAATTCATGCACCACCGTAAGTAATAAGCACTCCACACTGGAACAATCTGCCAATGATGTACCAGCTCATTTTGTCACTACAGTAATGGCTTTACCTTGCTAGAAGGCACAAACAGGAAGAAAGGCTTCAGAAGAGCAAACCAGAATAAGTTTAACAAACAAGATCTTTATAGCTTTTCTTTTCAAACTTTTTTTTTTTTTTTTAAAAAAATCAATAACCTTAAAATAGAAATACCTGACATTGGTGGGTCAACACACACATTTATTGTTTAAGTGAGGTACGGGATTGTGATTGTCTGCATCAGATCTACCCAGGATCAATGCATTAACAAAATAAAAGCTTCTATTCCTTGAAGTCAATTCAACTGGCAAGCATCTTCCAAAACCTCCTTCAAGAAGGTTAAAGACTCAGTTTCTCCACTTAGACTGAAGTGCACATCAATTTAAAACTTTATACTATTTCCACTTCACACCACACTCTTTGCCAGCCACAACATAACTATGCAGAGTGAAGTTTTTTGCAGAATGTCATCCAGAGTGACCACAGCCATGCTGGCAGCAAGAAAAAGCATCGAGAACTGCTTCTCATGAGCAGCTCTTTGGTGCTGCCCCTTATTAAAAAGTTTTTTTAATGGTCTTGTATTAAAAAATTAAAAATAAGTAAAGGGCACTTTGAAAAACAGCTCTGTTCACCCTGGGCAGCAGGTCCCATTGTTCTTTATTCTTCATCTCCTCTTGCACTTCATGGATACGTTTTAGGGACTCCAGACTCTCATCCAGCAAGAAAGTTGTGTCATTTATCAGCATGTTGATGTAGCGAACAAACTGCTTCCCAGAGCTGAAAACATTGAAACACAGTTATCACGGCAGAGTAGATGGGTGTGCAGACCAGACTGCAACCCCAGCAACACTCCTTCTGCACTGTATATTTCGAATAATGATCCCATTCCCCAAGCCAAGTTGATTGTGGTGTCCAGAGCTCAGTTTAGAAACACTCCAGTTCTACTGGAAGGGGCTGTCATTTAAAACACAATGGAAAGCAGCATCACCCATTCCCAATGGTAATAACCTTCTCGGGTCATTGTCTGAGCTGCTTGTGTGACAGTAAGCAGCATTATACACAATTTCTTACTCACTTGAACTCTTCCATAAAGGTACCATGGTGAGCTATATTCTGCCAGAGGCTTTTGAAAATGGTGCTGATGTGGTAGCGGATGGTAAACTTGTCATAGAATTCACTAGTAGCTCCAGTATGTTCCACGTCTGAAAAAGATAACAGATCCCAGAACTGAAACGCAAAC